TTGGGGGGGGGGGGGCACGAGGGCGCTAGCATCAGCATCATTCCGCGTCAAGCACTGGAGCTGTAGCGGCAGTGTGAGGGTACCTGATCATGACCCTTGCACGTGCTGAAGTACTTGCGCCAGGCGTGGGCCCAAGCGATGGTCCGTTCATTATTCCGCATGAGATATACACCTGCACCGCTGTGTGGGGGTGATTATAGTGAACCTTTGGTGCCTGGTGCGACCACCCTACTCGGCGTACCAGTGTTGAAGTTGTGATGTGGGCTGCCGCCCTTCTCCAGTCCGCTATCGCCAGGATCATTATGGCTGCCCGTGCCATCCTCGCTGAACAACAGGTCTGCAGGGCAGGAAATAAGGGTACGGTCAGGTCAGCACAGGGCAGGGAGGAGCAGTGGACAAAAGCAAAGGACACCATCAGCATTGCAAGATGCGGGGCCAGGTGTGAGAGTATACGCCAGCCAGGCTTTGCCCGCAGGGGGTCGCCCTCGGTCGCACCGCCCTGATACGCTTGCCTGCGTCCTGGTGGATGTCAAACAGAGGCAGCGGGTCCTTGAACCACACCACATCCACATCTGACACAACCACATTAAAACCCCAGTCGACAATGGCGTCCAGCACAAACACCTTGGCCCAAGTCATATGCCGCCAGCCCTCGTGGCCCCACTGAAGGCCTGCAATCCAACAGCAGCGTAGTGTCATATCAGCCACACGCGGGGGGGCGGACGCGGGTCTGCTGCATGCAGGCTGACTTTCTGGCCGACAAAATCCGGACGCTGCTAGAGGCAAATTTCGCCATTTTCGAGCCGCTTTACGCCACAATTGTTTTGTGGAAGCAAATTACAGCGACAAATAAGAGGCGGTGTGCGAAAATGCAGGAAAACAGCGGTCAAGCGTGGTCAACCCTGGATGGAAGCGCGCCTCGCATCCGGTTTGGCCGGCCAGAGATTCAGCCTCGATGAAGCAGGCACACAGCTCTTCGAAGCGCCATACATTCAAGTAGGCGATGTGCAACGCACAGAAGACTGAATGTCTGCCTAGGTTGGGACAATGCAATTGCTCGGTTGTGACCACGAGCCAAAGAACAACCCCAGGGCCAAAGAACAACCCCAGGGCAGCGCTTAGGCCCTGCCACCCTACTGATACACCCACCTAGGGCTGTCACTTTCTCGTCGACGCGGTCGAAGCAGGGCTCGTCCATGTCGATGAGCCGCCGAGAGGTGTTGGCATCCGTGGCCGCAACGAAATAGTAATCGATGCCCACCTTCTTCACCCAGTGTAGCCAATTGCGGGCAAAATCAAATTGTGCCTCGTTGATCACAGCAAACATGATGGTGTTCTGCTTGGCTCGACTGGCCAGCAGCTCGCGCATTAGGGGCGGGCACAGGCCGCCGCTGCCAGTGGTTCCGCCGCTGCCTGCCGCAGTGGTGTTGGACTCCTCGGCCTGCCGCGTTTGCAGTGATGTGCGCATTGCTGATGCTGTGCCGCACAAACAGGAGGTCCACAATGCTGCCAGCAGATAAGGCCAAATCATGGCTTAGCGTTAAAAACAAGAGCTCACCCTCCCGATGTGTGCCCTCAGCCTCTATGTTAGATCACAAAATGCAACATGAAAGGCAGTGGTGTGGAACACAGGGGACATGCGCTGAGTTTTCCTCTCAGCTCAGTTGGGCCCCAGATGAAGGATCATGTTAGACAAAAACATCGGCACCTTGAACATCCACTCTTGCTTACGGTTGCCCAAGCCTACCGTGGGTTGCCACATGTGGCGCCATGGCGGCGGTCCCCACACAGTGAGAGCCCGCCTCCTGTCACCCAGTCAGATTGAAGCTGATGTCGGAGGCAGGCGCCTGCTGTTATTCCTCTGTCCTGCATTTTTACGCGGCGCGCTCGTCCTCCTGCGCAGCTGGAGCAGCGCATGGCGGATGCCGCCTACCTGATGCGGGACACGGCACCCGGCGAGGCGCCACGCGAGAAGGGGACCGGCCGGCCCGGCCGGCGGCGCGGCCCGCCTGGCGGCGGTACTCGCGCCATGCTCCTCCTCCTGGTGCTAGCCTTCTTCGCGGCGCTGCTCTACATGGACCCCGTGTACCCCAGCACGGTGCAGCAGCTGCACCTGCACCTGCGCCTGCCGCAAGTGTCGCAGAACGTGGAGCTGAAGCTGGGGGAGGCCGGCCTGCTGGCCGAGGACAGCGTGCAGCGAGCACTTGCAGCAGCCGTCAGCGGCTCCAGCGCCAGCACCCTGTCATTCGAGGTGTGCAGCGGCTTTGCCCACCAGCGCGTGGACATCGTGACAGGTGATGTTCGGTTGTTGTAATGCATGTGCTTCCCTTCTTGCCGCAGCAACCGCACAACTGCATTGCAGGAGGTGCACGACTCGAATGCCCCTGCCACGTTCCCCTGCACACATCACAATAACGGTCGCCTTGACCTTTGCTCCAAAAGGCTGCCCTCTGCCCTGTCATGTGCACAGGCCTGATCCTCGCCGTGGAGCTCAACCGCACCATGGTGCTTCCGCGCCTGCTGCTGGATGGCAGCCAGCCCACCGACGCCCAGGACAGCGAAGACGGGTTTGCTGGCTCTGTCGAGTTTGGGTGCGTGGTCCTGGCTTTCCTTTCTGCTGCCGCTGGAGCCCTCATGTTTGGCATGCGCTGTGTGCCTTTGCGTGTTTGATGACCTAGCTGGCGTTGATGAGGTGCTGAGCTCATTTGTACTCTGAGGCCCTGTGAGAGTGGCAGGGAGAGAACAAAGAATTGCGTCCCGTGGCCCTTCTCTGCAGGGAGATGTTTGATGTGGAGACCTTTACCAGCCGCCTGCAAACCCTGGGTGTGCGCACTGCACTCGGCCCGCCCCCCTCCTCCAAAACTTCGGCCGGGCGGCTGGCCGACTTTGACAGTGTGCAGGCGCTTGGCAGTTTCTATGCCTCTAAGCAGCACCTCAGGTGGGGTCATTCCATGTGTGAGGTGTAGCATCCTCGTCCGTTGTGCATCTGCTGCTTTGGCGGTGTGCCCTGCAACCACTGCACCTGACTTTCATTGTTTCTGGATCCCATACAGGCTGGACTGCCCAGCATTCCGGGTGCCCGCTGACTTAATTGTCAAGCACGAGAGCCTGGTGTTTGCGGCCATGGACGCCATGCAGCCATCGCGGCCATTGCTGGATATCATCAGCAGGTGATTGCGCGCGTGTTCCAAGTGAGGTGGACAGGTAGCCTGATGGTTCATGTGAACGAAGTTTTTGCTGCTCCGCCTGTGTGCAGGGCTGAGGAGCAGCTTCGCAGCATGAGCAATACCGGGGCCTTCAACATTCTCCACCTGAGGGCCGAGGACGAGTGGCTCTTGCATTGCACCAACTGGGAGAGCATCGGCGACGGTATGTTTAAGCGGGGTTTTTTTGTACTCTGATCCATGCCGTACAAAGGGCTGGAAGGAGAGGCTTTGTGTGAAATGCTGCGTGGTTGTGGGTCTTGCAGGGATTGTACGCAACAACTGCTTGAACAACACTGCAAGAGTCGGGAATCAGCTGCGGCTTCATCGCATCGACCGGCAGGTGGGCTGGTTGCACGGCATGTTGCTTGGAGCTCACCTGTATCTTCTCGGGCTTCATGACGACATGTTGTCATTCCTGTTCCTGCAGGTGCCACTCTTGCTATCCATCAACAAAATTGATATCAGCAACGATTTAGTTCGGCAATCAATGCAAAACCTTGAGGCTCACAGGTGGGCCAGGTGTATCAGTGGGCAGTTTCATTGAAAGGGTCTGCTCCAATCGCTGTATGTTCACAACCGTTTGTGTGATTAATGGCTGCAGCTACCAGGTGGTTCTGCGTGACGCAGTCTTTGAGCATGACCTTAAACTGCCTGGCCTCTCACGGGAGGAAATTGCACTGGTGAGATTTTGGGTCCGGGTTCTGCTGCTATTTCAAGGGTATGTTTCATTGACCTGCTGCCCTCCTGCTCTCAGGTTGATTACTACCTGGCGCTCGGCTGCCAGCAGTTTGTGGGCAACAGCGTATCTGTGTTCAGTGCGCTGCTCATTATGGAGCGTTGGCATGCGGGGCGGTTTGCCACTTATTACAATGGCGGCAACATCCCGCTGGAGGCCTTCATGCCGCTGTACCAGTGAGTCGTGCGAGCCCAATGCTCAGCAGGCATCGCAATGCTGAGCTCGTTTCGCCAGCCACATTGCTGCCTGACAAACTGCCGACGCTGGACTGTCCCACACCACACCACAGGATGCCCTGGGTGTTCACGTACAACGATTGGTCGGCGGGCACCGAGTATGATTATATGGTGAAGGCGGCTGTGACCTCTGGCATCGAGGTGGCCCGCATGAAGCCGTACTGCATGTACAGCGGCAGCACGTCTGCGGAGATGTACCAATGGTTCCTCAGCAAAGGAGTCACCATCATCCAGGTGACGGGCGTGCGGATGTGGGGGTCACGGTTATGCAGGGGCCAGCTTCATCACCAGCTCGTTGATCTGTTGTCGTGGAGCTGCCGCTGCAGCACGAGCCAGCGTGGCGGGATGCCCTGATCAAGGAGGGGGCACGCCACAAGGAGCAGAACCTGGTACACTCCCACCTCTACAAGACCGGGGGCACCCTGGTGGGCACCTTCCAGCGCATCGACATCCCCATCCTGCGCCAGTTTGACCAGTACAACTATGTGCTGTTCACAGGTGCGCAGCTTGTGGGGGCACGGGGGCATGGCGCAGCAGTTACCCTGTGCAGCTGCTCGTATGAACGCGGCATGCTCCTGTAGCAACGCTCTCTGCCTCACAGTGCTTCGTTCTGGCCTCTGCTGCAGACTGCGATGTTTACTTCCGCCAGCAGATGAAGCTGGTGGACTGGGGCACGCCGCTGCCCACGGCCGTGGGCATGGGGTGAGCCAGGCCCGCCTGCTGCCACCGCCATCAATTGCGGTCTGTCCACAGTACATGCTGACAGCCACAAGAGAGTACAGCTCGCAATCCAGAGCCTGGTATGGAGAACCACACCTCCAGCTGCTGCCATCCTGTTTGCAGCTTTGAGGGGCAGGACATTTTCCCCTACAATGCCGGCATCATGCTGATGAACATGCCGTACATGCGCAAGACCAACAAGAAGTTTCTGAACTGGATCGTCTCACAGAGGAATGGGCTGTACTACCCAGGCAAGTGTCAGAGACTGCACAGCGCTGTTACCCGCGAGCATGCCTTGCCCATCGAAAGCAACGGATGCGTTGCTGTGGGGCAATGACAGAGCCAGCCTCCCGAGGCTTGGTGTGTAATGCTTGCGGCGCCCACTGCTGTCACTGCAGGATATGGGCCGCTTGACCAAGGTGCTCTGAACCAGTTTTATGAGAAACAGGTCAAGGGCCTGCCGATCAGCAAGGTGCGTGCCCAATGCGCTGGAAGCGGCCTGCTGTGCGCCTTCACATCGCGTGCAGTTGCGTGCACAACCTGGCATGCACGCCTGACATGCAACTCAAGCGGCTGCGCGGCCTGCCGCAGAACTTCAACGCAATGATGTTCCACCAGTTCAGGCCTGATGCGCGCATCGTGCACATGAACGGGTGAGTATCTCTGTTTTGTTGCCCACATGGGAGTGCAGCTGGGAGACGCGCAATTAGCCTCAGCTGTGCAGCCCAGGCGGTCGGTGTCATGCGTTTCGTTTTTGTCCCTTCTGTCTGTCCTTGCCTCAGGCCCAAGCCCAACCACTACCTGGAGTGGCTGGAGAAGGGAGTCTGCGCATTTGGCGACATGTGCAAAATGGTGAGCGGGTGGTGGCGTTAGGTGGTGGGTTTGTTGTGTGTGCGAGTGTGTTGGTGGGGGGGGGGTAACAAGATGCGAGTCCTGCGCCTGCTGCTTGCACCTGCAGGGCGTCAGCAATGGCGTGTGCCAGTACATCGCCGAGTACCTCCAGTTTACGCCGGACTGGGAAATTCCCGCCGAGCTGCACAAGCTGTGCAGCAGCGGCGCAGCAGCCAAGCAGGTGCCAGTGCAGCGAGCAGCAGCTGTCACGCAGCAGAAGGGCATACACGTGGCCAGGCTGCAGCAACCGACAACCCAGCTTGCAGTTGTGCGCCAAGAAGAGGAGGACGAGGATGCCGACTTGGAGGAGGTGGAGGAGGCGATGCAGGAGGATGAGGATGAGCAGGAAGTGGTGGTGAGGGCACAGGAGGCGGCAAAGCGGGTGGCAGCGAGGGGACGAGCAGCAAGAGGCGGGAGGAAGAGTCGGCCAGCCTTCTCGGACGAGTAGAGGCCGGGCAGCTTCTTACTGATGTATTGCTGGGGTTGGTTGTGAACAGCCAGCCTCCGTGAGCAATCGCTGTCACAAGCGGCAACAACAGCGAACCGTGCAATCCGCGCAGCTGCCATCGACTGGATGTTCCACTGAACTGTTCAGTGGAACATCCAGACGTTGTGATCCGACATCGCGATGATCGGAGAATACGCGTCGCGCGCGAAGGACCCGCAGTACACTAGCGCTCTCATGTCGCGCGCGCCGCCCAAGCCTGGCGTTCTTGGGAGTTTAAGGCAGTTCATGGCGAGCGCTAGCCTCGGGGCCCATTAACTATCGTCGACCAAGCACACCCCTTCTCTCCGTCACCCGGTGTTTCAAGAGCTTATGACACGCATGCGCATGCGCATGTAGAGCCGGCAGGCCCGGCGCTAGCCCGGTGGAGCCGCGGAATCGTGAGCGGCCGTTTGGTTGCCCATCCACCAGGATGGCGCTGAAGCCTTCAATGTCTGTAAAGGCTCTGCTGCCGCCAGGGGGTTCGCCGGCAGTCAGGCGGCAATACAAGGTGCGCGCCGCCGCCTCAGCCGCGCAGCCGGTCGCGGCGGTTTGTTTACGCTTGTCGTCCCTGCATTGCTGTCGCAGGTCAGGGCCTTGGCTGTGTCCCTCGTTGCGGTGCTACTGATGTGGGCCCGGTACCAGCAGACCATCAGTTTGAGCGGCGCCGCCAAGGGTCGGTTGCAGTCCAGGTCTGGAGGGCATGGCACTGCCACTGGCCAAGCCAACACGGCGTCATCGCTGCAGCCTGCGGAGAATGCATTCACAATGCAGTTTGAAGTCTGCAACGGCTTCACCAATCAGCGCATCGCCCTATTGTCAGGTGTGGTTGTGTCGCTCGTGGCTTGTTGTCGTGACCTGCGCCGCAAGTCCAGGCCCGCAAAGGTTTTGTAGCTTGGCAGGTGCTGTGGCTGGCAACCGTTGATCTGTTGCTTTCGCTGTGCAGGGCTGGTGCTGGCAGCAGCAGCGAAGCGCAGCGTTGTACTGCCCGAGTTCTTGTTGAATGGAATGCAGCCTGACGACATGAAGACCGTGACGGCAGACAAAGCTGAAACCGTGCCGTTCCGGTGAGGAGTCAGCTGCAGGGTTGCGCATTCGATGTCAATGTGGGGGCAGATGTGGGCGTGTATTGTTGTTTTTTGGCTTGATTGCCAGACGGCAACACCTCTTTGTCGCGGGGCTCCCGTTGCTGCACAGGGAATGGTTTGATGAAGAAGCGTTTGCACAGGCCATGGCTGCCCATGGCGTCCAAGTTGTTGCGGGCGTGGCGCCCAATGCAACAGTGGTGTCCATCAAGGATTTTGACAGTCAGTCCAAGGTTGGCGCCCTCGTCGCACACCTCAAGAAGCAGCGTGGGCTGCAGCACATCAGGTGCCATAGCTGACTCCACTGCTGCTGTTTCTGCAGCACGGCCTTTACAACCCAGGCATTCTATTCTTGTGCTGCGTGGGCTGGTTGTGAATTAAGTCGCACTGTTCGTGTCGCTGGCTGCAGGATTGCCTGCCCTGCATTCCGCTTACCGGGTGCACTTGTCAAGAAGCATGGGGCGCTGTTGCATGCAGCCGTCGAGGGGCTGCGGCCCTCTGATCGCTTCCAATCCATCATAGCAGCCTGGCGGCAGCAGATCGAGGCCAAGTCGGGGTCGATAGCTTACAACCTGATCCACCTGCGTGTGGAGAAGGATTGGTTTGCGCTCTGCAAGATGTGGGAAAACCCAAGCGAGGGGCGGAACAACTGCATGAACAACACTGCCACAGTTGGCAAGCAGCTACAGAAGCACGGGTTTGAGCCACAGGTGAACACGTGCCGTGCCAGGTGCCCCTGCTCTGTGTTTGGAGTTGAGCATGCAGCCACAGCGATGTGCAAGCCAGGAGTGCGCCCTGACTTCCATGGTCTGCAGGTCCCCGTGGTGGTGGTGACATCTTTCCCAGATGCCGTCCCTAATGCGCTGGACACCTCGCTGAAGTCCATCAAGTCCAGCAAGTACAATGTGGTGCTGGGCAGCGAGCTTGTGCAGTTGGGAGAGGAACTGTCGCGGGAAGAGAATGCGCTGGTGCGATGCTGTGGCTGCTGAGTGTGGCCAACCCCGTTGCTGCCCAGCTGTGGAGTGGCACAGGCGCATTGCAACTGGTGAGAAATTCCATTCCTGGCAGCCATGTTCATGATGGTGAGCGCTTCCTCTGGCTCAGGTGGACTACTACCTTGGGCTGGAGGCTGAGAAGTTCACGGGCAACTCGGTGTCGACCTTCACAGCCTTCCTCATTCTAGAGCGCCGTTGGCTGGACAGGTGCAAGGGAAGGGCTTTTGAGCAGGTGCAGGGCTATGCATCATGCCGCCAAGTTACACCAACTGACTAAGGAATGCAACATTCGGATTCTTCGTGGCTTCTCCCTTGTAGGCAATCGGCGCATTACAACGGCGGCAACATTCCGCTTAATTCATTTTTCCCATTCTTTTGAGAAATGTGTAAACCCAGGCAACAGGAAAGTGGCAAACACGGAAACAGGGGCACATTGTGCCTGCCTGCCTGCCGGTTCAAGTAGCATGTTGACGGAAGTGCTGGAAACTCTCCCTCCTGCTCCATATTCTTCACCAACCTGACTTCAAGCACTTCCTCTAGCAAGCGGTGGCTGGCAGTTTGAGGTGCACTCACTCCAGTGCCTGCAAGTTTGTTCATTTACACAGCTGTGTAATGTGGGTTTCAGCATCATCTATAAGAATCTTATTTCAGTGAGGCTGCTTGGACGCTGGCTCGCAACATCTGCTTGTAGCTCAAAATGTCGCCATTCCACTTGCTGACGGTGCCCTTGTCTACCACCCAGATCTCGTTGGCCACCTGGGAGATGAGCCGGAAGTCGTGGCTTACAAGCACAAGGCCGCCATCCCAGTCTGCAGACAGGGTGGGCAGAGGGTCAGCAGAGGACAGGCAGACGTGACTTACAGTCCGTAGTGATAACAGGCTGAGAGCATGCAGGTAGTTGGCTGGCAGTTGGTGTCGCAGGAGGTAGGCAGCATCCGAGTGTGGCCCAGCTGCCTGGCACTAGCGTGGCTGGGCCACCCCACTCCCACTCACTGTTGATGGCCTCTGCCAGTGAGTCGATGGTCTCCATGTCTAGGTGATTGGTGGGCTCATCCAGCAGCAGCATGTGCGGCGTGCGGTGCGCTAGCCATGCAAACACCACCCGCGACTTGAGCCCATCGCTCAGCTTGCTCATCACCAGCGTCTGCAAGGCATGGTGGAGACAGGAGGGTTTTGGCAGGTGGCGCTGATATGGCGAGGCTGATATGGATCGAAGCTGATATGGAGTGGGCTGGCTGGTTATGCCCAGCGATGAGCGGATGAGCAGCTAACCACCCGGCAAGACAGTAGGGCGCTTCCAGCCGCTGGAGGCTGCCCTCCTCTCGTGACCACACCAAGGGAGTCGAGGGCGGAGCTGCGAGCGGCAAGACTGACAGCAATGGCGAAGACAGCAGCGCAGGCGCACCAGGTGCTGCGCGGGCTGCGGAACTACGAGCTGGAGGTAAGTGCCATGCCCTTCTTGTAAATGCACGCACCTGCTGTGGCCCAGTGATGCCGAACCTCCCGATGACTGACCGCATCTTCTCCTCCCCCAGCTCGTTCCCAAACTCCCTCGCAAAATACTTCAGCACAGGATTGAGGGCGGCCGGAGCACCCAGGGGGGCAGGCAGTGTCAGACAGGGCGAGGAGGGGCGAGGAGGGCAGGCACATGCAGGGAGGCGCATATCCGAGCTGCAGCCGCAGACCGGCTGTGCCATAAAGGCCCCGCTTGAGCAGCCCACCCACCTGCAGCGGTGACAGGTCATCGGGCAGCAGCTCCGTCAGGTGCTGGTGGTACTGCCCGATGCGCAAGTGGTTGTGCCGCTTCACCATGCCATCCAGAGGGTCCAACTGCCCAGTCATCAGCTTCAGAAGCGTCGACTTGCCCGCGCCATTGGGGCCCACCTATGGTTCAGGAAAGCAGCGTACAGGAGAGCTCAGCTTTCCTAACAACACATTGGATGCTGCTGAGTTGCAAAACAAACAAACTATCCCTCTGTGCATTCATACGCAGGTTGAAACAGTCCATGAGCACCGCACGCAAGACAAGTAAGCAACAAGGGAAGCAGCTCACCACCGCCACGCGCGAGTCCAGGTCGGCGCCAAGGTCCACATGTGAATAAAGGACCTTGTCTGGCGAGTAGCCGAAGGTGACATCAGTGAATTGGAGCACTGGCGGTGGTAGCTTGCCCATGTTTTCAAACTTGAACTTCACCACTCTGTCGGTTTCCACTTTCTCTGTCAGCCCCTCCCGCACCATCTTGGCCAACACCTTCTCCTTGCTCTGACAAGCATAAGCATAGAAAACAGCGGGTAAGTGCGCGGAAAGCAAGTTAAGAGCACCATGGCGTCAGCGAAGCGAGCAGGAAGGGGTGCAGGAAGCAGCGCCAAGCGAGATGGATGCTTTGGCCTGCCCATCCTCGCACTCAGACAAAGAAAAGCCACCTACGAGTCCAGGCCCCCCTCCGCACCTGCGCCTGCCGTGCCAGCTTTGCACTGCCATGGCCGAACCGCGCAATGTACTCCTTCATGTTGGCAATCTGCTCCTGCTCCCACTTGTACTTCTTCATCTGGTTCTCCTCCAGCTCGGCCCGGGTGCGCACGTAGGTATCGTAGTCGCCTGCAGCAGCCAGGGCACAGCAAGCACTGAGAGCTTGGTGTGTGGGAGACAGAGATGGGCAGATGGGAGTGGCCACAGAACAGGCGAGCATGCATGCTGGAGAGACGGTAGAGAGAGCCCAGCGTTCCTGCTGCTTCGCTGTTAACAACGCAGGCAGGCCGATCCGTTGCCCCAGCTTCTTAAAGTGCAATTGTCAGCCCAAGTGTCAGGCCATACAGGACAGCATGGCCAGTAGCAAAGCAGCGTGCCCATGCAGACGGGAGGGCTGGCAACAGTTGCGAGTGCAGCCCCCCAGCAAAGGTGCGAGCCCAGAGGGAAAGCTGGACCGGAGGGGAAGGTGCAGCTTCTAACCTGCGTAGTACTTGAGCTGCTTCAAATGCATGTGGATGATGTTGGTGCATACGCCGTTGAGGAAGTCCTGCGGTGAAACCGCAGTAAAATGAATGAGCATGGTGATTAATTGCAACAACACAAAGCATAAACGTGCACCAAACCAGGCCTGTGCATGTGCTGCTTGGTAATGGCAGCGACTGCTCTCCAAGCCCCCCCACCTGCGAGTGCGACACGAGCAGCAGGATGCGCTTCCAATTCTTCAGTGTGTCCTCCAGCCACACGCAGGCCTCTAGGTCCAGGTGGTTGGTGGGCTCATCCAGGATGAGGAAGGTGGGCTCCACAAACAGTGCACGGGCCAGAGCAATGCGCATGCGCCAGCCGCCGGAGAAGTCACGCGTCTTTTTGGCCTGCAGGATCGAGAGGAGGGTTTCAGAGCAGAAACAACGGCCACAAAACAACAGGAGCAGCAAAAGCGCGGATGTGAGTGGGTGCATCGCACATGTTGGAACACCGTGAAGTGAAAGTGTGTAGTGTGAAGGCATGGAGTGAACAACATCAGACCCCAATTCAGGCCCCACACCTGCATCTCCTTGTTGAACCCCAGGCCATGCAGAATGGAGGCGGCCCGTACCTCGGCCATGTCCGACTCCAATGCATCCAGCCTGTGCCGTGTGGCAGCAGAGATGGGGTGGGGATCGGCCATCGGCACAGCAGCACATCCGTGCTCCATCCCTGCTGGGGCAGACTACCCGCACACTACACACACCGCCGGCCTGGAGCACCCATGCCTGCAACCTGTGTGGACCCACCTCTCATAAATGTCCTCCAGCCGCGCCTCCACCTCCTCGCCCTGCTGGTCTGCCAGCGCCTCGGCCTCTGCTTCCAGCCGTGCCCGCTCAGCATCGACGCTCTTCACCGCCTGCAAGCAGCAGCAGCGGTGGCGTTGCCAATCAGCAACAGGCGACGCAGCCCTCAAGGCAGTCGCAGGCCACGTGCCATGGGCCCGGCATGGCCCAACCCCTGGGGAAAACTAGCTAGGCGGGGCTGTTGCCTCCCAAGCTGCTGCACGCCATCAACAGCAGCGCAGCCGTGCTGTCGCACCCCGCACCTCCAGAGCGGTCATGTCTGAGGCAGGGATCTCGCGATCCAGCAGGTAAACGTCAATGTGCTCTGGGATGGGCAGGTCACGGGCGCCCAGTGCCTTGAGCAGGCAACTTTTGCCGCACCCGTTGGGGCCAATCAGGCCATACCGCCTGCAGCCAGGCATGCATGCAGGCACGTCGTGCAAGGCACGTGCATCTGCACCCATGCACATGTGCGGCTAGGCAGGCAGGAAGGCTGGTATCTGTCCCAGCGGGGGCATGGGCTGCTGTTTTGTGCAGGGCATCAGAAGCAGTGACCGGTGCAAATGGCTCCGCTCCTCCATCAAGTCTCCACCCTGCCACTGGTGGTGCGGCCGGGCCCACGGGCACCCAGGACGAGTTTCTTTGTCGACTGTTGTTTGGGGCACAAGGACGGCTCCTCGCCATGAGGAGGGAGCCAGGGCGGCTGGAGGGAACGGGATGAGCTGCACCGCCGCCCACCCACCCACCCAGGCTGGCCCCCTGGTGCAAGAGGAGCCGGGTTGGGGCCAGGCCAGCGCAGGGCTGCGCCACCGCCGCCCCCGCCCGCACTTGAGGGTGCACAGCTCCGCTGCCTAGAGCATCGGAAGGCGCACCTGCCGTAGTTGAGCTCCAGGCGCGTGTCGGCCAGCAGCTCATGGCCGTGGTAGAGCAGGCTGAATGATTCAAAGTGGATGTCCCGGGACTGCGGGTGGCTGGTCAGCACACCGGTAGTGGAGCGGTCGTTGAGCTGGAACTCCTCGAGCGCCACCGCCACTCCGCTTGCGTCCACCAGCCCGCCGTTGCCGGCGCTGTTCTCCACCTCGGACAGCTGCCCAGCCGAGGCGGCGCTCTTCAAGGAACCTTTGCTGCCCCCCTTTTTCATCGCTGCCTTCTTCTTCTTGGAATCCGACGGCCTGAACAGTAAGGTGGGGCCGCGGGCAAGAGTTTGTGCCGTTTGTGGCATTGCAGCAACTGCATGCGGGTGACCACGCAGTCACATGCACCGTAATGCAGCAGCAGCAAGCCTGCATTGCAATGGCAGCGAGAGGAGAGCTCACATGCTTGCTGCGTTCTCCTCAGAGTGGCGGCGCGCTCACACTCGTGGGTTGCGGCCCGGCTTGGGGGCTGAGGTTCCTTTTATTGCAGGTCCAAAGAAAAAGAGTCGGCTCTGATCAGGCCTGAAACACTGCATCAAAACCTTCTTCCTCCCTGGCCAATGCCTTCTTCACTCACAGCAACGCCCCATCACCACTGGCTCGGGACCCACAGCGCTCCGGACAGCCGGCGAACGTTGCCTCTGCTCTGTGAGAGCGAACTCTTGGCAGCCCACGGTGAACGCGGGAAACTCCCGCCCTCAGTTTAACGCAAGAAGACGCAGGACATGGCTGCCTGCAGGGAGCACCAGCAGTGAAGCAGCCAGGTCGCCGGGTTGGCAACGGGCGACGGGCCTAGTGGTGCAGCGCCCCTTCCTGAAGTTCTGTGAGCAGCTATTGGTGGCTGGTAGCAGGCAGCTGCTCCTCGCGTCGTGCGCCTGTCTAGCACCCCCGCCGCAGCTGGCAGCGGGTCGGGTTTGCGCCCTCCTCCCCGCCGACGCACACGCGCAGACACACACACCTCACCACCAGTGCTCGCCCTCATCGCTTGCTCCTGCCTGCGTGCCTGTAGGTGGATCAAGGGTAAACAATGGATATTAGAATAGCGGTGAGAGCAAACGCCGGGCCAGACGACGTGTGTGCTAACCTTACAGCTCTTCCGTTGAGAGAAGTGCCCCCTTTTGCCGGGTGGCCGGTTGCAGGGCAAGTATAGGCTGGGTAGGAAGATTGGCTCGGGTAGCTTTGGAGACATCTACATCGGTATGCGGCAGCGGGGGCGGGGCCCAGGGGGGGCGGGCTGCCAATTGTCAGCATAATCGCTCAAGCTGGACTTTGCTGCCCTGCAACCTGCACAGCTCTTGGTCGCACACATGTGGTGCTGCGCGGCACCAGCGAGCATGGTTGGCTTACACCCACGCGGGGCTCTGCTGCTCTACTGCCGCCCCTGCAGGCACCCACCTGCTGACAGGCGAGGAGGTTGGCATCAAGCTGGTGAGCGAGTCTGTGATGTTGGGTTTTGTGTGTTTACCTATTCTGCAGCCGAGCCGCACTCCTTTCGGCACTTGTCTGCGCTTGAATGAGTCAGCTTCACAAACGTCAAGGTGCCCACCGCTCACTCGCGCATCCCTCCTGGCACCGCAGGAGTCCACCAAGACCAAACACCCGCAGCTGCTGTATGAGTCCAAAATCTACAAGATCCTGCAGGGCGGAAGTGAGCTGCTGCGCTCCGCCGCCCGCCATCGCCCTACAGCATGGAGTTGTCTCGCTGCAAAAATGTTTTGCGATGGTGCCTACCCACAGACAGTCCGCGCACGACGCATGAGATTGTGGTTGTGATGACATCGCATGTATTGCTTAGGCATGTTCTGCCACCTCTTTCCCCCCAACTTTGTGCAGCCGGCATCCCCAATATCCGATGGTATGGCGTGGAGGGCGACTACAATGTGATGGTCATCGACCTGCTGGGACCCAGCCTGGAGGACCTGTTCAACTTCTGCAACCGCAAGTTCAGCCTCAAGACGGTGCTCATGCTGGCGGATCAAATGGTGCGGTTGGGGTTGGGGTGCTTGGCCAGGTGCAAGGCTGTCCTGCCGGGGAACAGGGCTGCAGAACTGTGTGGGCTTAAAGGCTCAACCTGCGATCTAGGAATTGGGTGCCAGCCAGTTGGGCGAGGCACGCGCCTGAGGGTCCCATGCCAGCTCCTCTTCCCCGACCTCCTGCTGCAGCTGTCACGGATTGAATACCTGCACAGCAAGAGCTTCATCCATCGCGACATCAAGCCAGACAACTACCTCATGGGCCTGGGCCGCCGTGCCAATCAGGTGCGAGGCACTGCCTGCTGCGCCATGTGGCTTGCCCCGGTGGATGGCTGTTAGCCTGCTCACCGTGCCTATGCCCAGCCTGTTGTCATCCAACGATTCCTACCTGCCGGAACGCTGTGTCCTGGCCCGCAGGTGTACATGATTGACTTTGGCCTGGCCAAGAAGTACCGCGACCCCAAGAGCCATATTCACATCCCATACAGGGAGAACAAGAACCTAACGGGGACCGCGCGCTATGCCTCCATCAACACACACCTGGGTATCGAGCAGGTGCAATGCCCATTGGTCGGAAGCTGGTAGAGCAGGGCAAGATAAGCGGATGCAGTTTGGCGCAAGGACCAGCTGCCGACTCGTGTGCAAGGCACCTGGGCCGCCGCTTTGTTCCTATGGCTAGCGTGTTTGTTTGCAGTCGCGGCGCGATGATTTGGAGTCGCTGGGCTATGTCCTCATGTACTTCCTGCGCGGCTCGCTGCCATGGCAGGGCCTCAAGGCTGCCACCAAGAAGCAGAAGTGCGCGCACCTGGCTGCCTCTCTTACTTGGGGTACAGCTTGTTTTCAGTCGCTTGGAGCACGCTGCCCAGCCGTGGCTGCCGAGTGATGCATTGCACTTGCTGGGGCACTGCCAAGACCGACCCTGCTGCATGGGTTGCCGCAGGTACGAGAAGATCAGCGAGAAGAAGATGGCCACGCCCACCGAATCGCTGTGCAAGGGCTTCCCCACCGAGTTCGTGGTGTTCTTCCAGTATGTGCGCTCGCTGCGCTTTGACGACAAGCCGGACTATGCCTACCTGCGCAAGCTCTTCCGCGACCTGTTTGTGCGCGAGGGTGAGATGAGGGAAGAGACAGTGGGGGTTGGGATGGGTGCAGGGCAGGTTCTCGGCAAGACGGCTCCATGCCCGTTGTGCGTGCACTTTAGGCCTTTTTGAACCATGATCGTGAGCCACTGCGATGCCGCCGCCTCCATCGCCCCCGTTGTTTTTCGCTCTCTTTGCCGCAGGGTTCACCTGGGACTATGTGTTTGACTGGACCATCCTCAAGTATGCGCAGCAGCAGAACAGCCGGCCCAGCACGTCGCGCCCCGCGGACGGTGCGTACGTGGCGCCACAGCCACGGGCGCAGGAGGATGCACGCGATGCCGAGGCGGCGCTGCGCAGGCTGGGCCTGCAGTGAAAATGGGCTGGGCCCGCAATGAGGCGGGGTGGGCCTACCTGGCTGCGGGAGCAGCCGGCTCTGTTCAGCTAGCACCCCCCACACCCCACACCCCACACCCGCCGATTCATCCCAAGGATGATGGCGTTCAGCAGCAGCAGCACCCTGTTCTAGTTTTTTGCTGCTCAACCCACAACAGCAGCAACGGTCGAAGCATTTGGAGCGCCCCTTCAGCCGCTTGCCGGTGCTGGGAGCAGCACCGCTGCAATGATGCAAGGGGAGGGCGACAATGGGTGCTGCCAGATGGTTTGAGGCACCATCGCCAGATGATTTTCAGGCAGCAACAGCCTCTCTTTGGATGCCCGCTCAAGCGGGATGTATTTCTGTGTTTGCCGCTGCCACGCATCCATGCTGTGGTCGGCACCACCCCCATCTCTACCTGGCAGCCAGTTTCAACGTATGTCGCACACATCGAGCTCCTCTCGCAATATGTAATTTTCCAGAGCGGGCTCAATTTCTAGCCGGGCTAGGCGCAGTTTGGTGGCCGCGCAGCGCGGCAGTGCATCTGTCCCTGAGCTTGCCATGACAGCAAACCAAACACCGCTTTTGCTTGTTTCCATTAATCCCGTTGGCAATTGCAGTCGAAACCACGTCGATAGGTCACCCTGACACTTCTCAATTTCCACCCGAGGCCATCACAAGGCCGAGAAGGCACAAGCCATCAGGAGGGTGGCAGCATTGCCCGTAAGATGTCCACACAGCCTGCGGCAGAGTCGTCGGCGGCGGCGGCAGCGGCGCCGCCAACGCCTGCAGGGTTGAAGTTAGCTCTGGGCCTGGAGGGCAGCGCCAACAAAATCGGCGTGGGCATCGTGCGGGGGGATGGACACATCCTGAGCAACCCGAGGCACACGTGAGCACGGGTGGCGTGTCATTGTGCGCTGCTGGCTGCCAACAGACCGCCCACCAGCTGCACACCTCGACCGGGTTTCATGCCTGGCTGTGCAGGTTCATCACGCCCCCGGGGCAGGGTTTCCTGCCACGGGAAACCGCAATGCACCACCAGGAGTGGGCGGTGCGCCTGGTGCAACAGGCACTGAAGGAAGGCAATGTGACGCCCAGCCAGATCAGTTGCATTGCGTACACCAAGGTGGGTTGTGGCAAGAGATGCAGGGTTCAGCACCACCCAGTGGTGGCTTTTCATTCACGCGTTAATGCAGGGCATGGCAGCTCACCTGGACGCGCACACACATGTATTTGCCCAGCCTGCACGGCGCTGTGCAGGGCCCCGGCATGGGCGGTCCTCTGGTGTCGTGTGCTGTGGTGGCGCGCATGCTGTCACAGCTGTGGCGTGTGCCCATCATTGGCGTCAACCACTGCGTAGGCCACATTGAGATGGGACGGATTGTGACGGGGGCCCAGGACCCCGTGGTGCTGTATGTCAGTGGCGGCAACACGCAGGTGTGCTTTGCCCTGCACCATGAGGAGGCCACCAGGCCAAGCAAACCTGAGTGCGGGCAAACCTTGGAATGGGCTTCCTGGCCAGTTGCCAGCAATGCGACCCCTCTTCGCGCACCACCACTCCTGCTCGTCTGCGGGATACTGCAGGTTATTGCCTACGCAGACCAACGGTATCGCATCTTTGGCGAAACAATCGACATTGCTGTGGGCAACTGCCTGGACCGCTTTGCTCGCCTGCTGGGCCTGCCCAATGATCCCGCCCCTGGGTACAACATTGAGCAGCTAGCCAGGCAGGTGGGCAGTACACGCATGGGGCGAGTTGAGCAAAGTGCAGCCTACATGGCGGCTTGCCTCTCTTGCGAACTACAGCTGCTCATCCACATGTTTGTGCCCCTTGGCTTCCCGCCTGCTGCTGTCCAGCGCCGCTCACCCTTGATTACACCCTTACAATGCTCAATCCCATCACTGCCTCCCACCCCGCCCCCTTTCGTGCTGTCCTCCATGTGGCCAGGGCACCAAGCTCATAGAGCTTCCATACGTGGTGAAGGGCATGGATGTCTCCTTCTCGGGGATCCTTTCTTATATTGAGGGCGCAGCCAAGGAACTGATGACAAAGGTGAATGACCCTGAGGCGTGGTTTGTATACATACACACCTGGTGCCCTCGTCCAATCCCTGCCTGGCTCAGATGGCTTTCTCTGCCTTTTATCTGGCCTGCCCTGCCCCCCCGCCCCAATTGTCCAATAGGGTGAGGCCAGCCCCGCCGACCTCTGTTTCTCGCTGCAAGAGACCATTTTTGCCATGCTGGTTGAAATCACGGAGCGAGCCATGGCGCACGTGGGCAGCAACGACGTGCTGATTGTGGGCGGGGTGGGGTGCAACCTGCGGCTGCAGGAAATGATGCAGGTGGGCGTAGTGGGTGGGTAGGTGGGTGGGTTTTGTTCCTGGCCAGGAGCCAGGTGGCAGTGGCGCCGTGATGTTGGTACTCACGTGGCGCTGGGAACTGATTTGCATGGCTGGTAAAGCAGTTAATGCAATGGGCTGCACAGGCAGGCGGCACCCGCCCCATGCCTCACCGTGCCGGCGGCCTAGGCGTCGAGTATCTGGGTAACCTGCTTGCATGTGCGGTTCCGGCGCAGGTGATGGTGGGGGAGCGCGGGGGCCGGCTGTATGCCACCGACGACCGCTACTGCATCGACAATGGCGCCATGATTGCCTGGCCGGGGCTGCTGGCACTGGGTCAGGGTCAAACAGTAGAGCTGGCGGAGACGACCTGCACGCAGCGGTACCGCACCGATGAAGTACATGTCATCTGGCGCGGCTAGGAGAGCATTCAAACTTGCCGGGCTGTGCTTTCCAGCTTTGTACTGTTTTCCAACCTTCAACCTTTTATGACGTAATGTGGAGGGCGTCTCAGAATGGCCGGGTTACACAATATCTGCTGCTCTTGGTACAATGGGCATTGAAGCATCTGACAAGCGTGGATAGCAGTAACAGCAGCCCCATTACTGGCATCCTTGCACTTCATTGGTTGCCACAGCTACTGCTGCTGCCTCTGCTGGTCTGTAGCCAGCACGGTGCCCGACAGGATGCTGCCGCCGCCATGGCTCATGTTCATGGTGGGGTGGGTGCGCAGCGGCAGCACCTGGCGACCACGGGAGCGCAGCAATAGGGGAGGCACAGTCGGGCATGGCAGCAAACAAACCATCGCAGTTGGGAAGCAACAGCAGGCAGTGCCCAAATTCTGACCATGTTGCTGCTCTGTGTGGTGTAAATTGCTGTCTCTACAATCATGCCAAACAAAGCAACATGCCTGCAACGGCAATGAATGTGCACGGCACACACCTGCATCTCGCGCCACCATGACTCATGCAGTGCCAACCCCGCCACCTCGCCTTGCCCTCGCAGCGCGTCCATGGCCTCCGCCAGAGGCTGCTGCCAGGGGCAGAAGACGGCGAGGGAGGCAGAAGGCGCCAGCAGCGGCAGCACATGGCGCACCAGCGCTAGCGGGCTGAGATTGGTGGCAGCCAGAATGCAGCTGTTGAAGGGGGGTTGCAGCTGCTGCTGCTGGAGCTGTGCCGCCCCTGGTGCACCGCCACCTGGATGGTGCTCGCCTTGCGGTTGCTCCACATGGCCCTGAGCACATGTTCCCTGAACATTCGCTGGCTCTGCCATGCTGCCTCTCGACGCGGCAGGCTGCAGTTGCTCACCTCGCTGCTGCTCACCTGCTGGCGGTTGCTGCTCGCCGTGCTGCTGCTTGTTCTTTGCCTGCTCGGCTGCCTGCTCCTGCTGCTGCTGCTGCCGACACTCTGCCAGCACCTCCGATAACGGCGTAAATCGCATGGCGGCGCGCTGTGCAGAGGAGAGATTGAGGTGGCGCCAGATGGCCAGGCTGGGCTGCTTGGTGCCCTTGCCGCCTGCCCACGCAGAGGTCACGCCGCCATGCCCGCCAAGACGCTCCGCCACGGCTGCCGTCACCAGCCCGCCGCAGTTCTCCACCACCAGCACCCGGCCATGTGCCCCAATGTTGGCCAGGCTCAGCAGCAATGCAAGCGCATCGGCCCGCAGGTAGGCAGTCTTGGCAGGAGAAGTCGAGAAGTATGCCTCGCATACGGCGGCTGCAGTGGGACGGCGCACCGTTGCGACCTGGATGTACTTGCGTGCCTTCTTCTTCCTGCACAAGCAGGTGTGGCAGGGGGAGGCAGGGTAGGCATAGGTGCAGGAGGGCTGGTGGGCATACTGGAAGGCCACGACGTCACGCCAGCTCTCGTCCTTTGGGCTCTGCTTGAAAGAACAAAAGCTCCCACCTGTACTTGTCTTGTGAGAATTCGGTCTTGGCTGCAAAGGTGGCGGAGTTGGCGGTGAGGGCGGCCACAATGTCAGCGCCGGCGGCACCCTCCGCCTTCATGGCCTCGATGTCGGCAGCCGACAGCGCCTGCGCGCCGCCGCTGTCCACCAGGTCGGCATTGGTGCGGGTGTTGAAGCCGGGGGCGATCTCGGGGGAGGGCAGGTCCCAGTCGGCAAGCGGCGTGCTGCAGCGCAGGGAGCGGCACCCGGGGTGCAGTTCTCATCCCAGCAGACTAGCAACGGGCTCCATGTTCTCCCTTGAAGAAGAAGTCAATCGTCCTCCAGAAAGAGCACAGTTGCGAACCGCTGGGGCGCCACACAGCCGGCGGCGGTGCGGCGGCACCCGCTCACTACTGTATGCGCTCCAACGACTTGCCGTCCGCCGCCAGGGCAAACATGGAGCCATAAGGGCAGCCGATGATGGGCGTGGCCGGGCAAAAGACCTTGCCCAACTTCACCTCGCTGCATGGCGGGGCCGCATGTGTTGTCACTGTCAGCCCCTTGGCCAGAAACAGCACCCAACTTGCTCACCTCTTGGCGTCTAGAGTCACAAAGGCCTGCCTGCCGTTGGTATCAAACAAAATGCTGCTGCCGAGCTGAACAGTTTGACAAAGAGAAGCCATTTCCTGCTGCTGCTCTCCGGAAGAATAAATGAAATGAGGGAGCCGCGAGGAATGGCGCAGCGGCGCCGCGTGTACAACAACAATCAGTGCCTTGGACAGTCTACATCTAAATGCTTTGACATTCTTACCGCCACATTTATTGCTCATTCATTCGCCCAATTTGCTACTTATCATGCCGGAGCTTGCGGCGGCGGCCCGAGCAGAAGAACTGCCAGCCAAGGCCCCAGGTCCCGCCCTCCCATTACCAGCCCTCCCATTACCAGCCCTCCTCCCCCAGCCAGGGCTGAGGGAGACCGTGCTCTGCTTGGCTGCGCCGCGCAGTCTGTGCCGCCCACGCTAGCCGCCGCTGCTGGCCGCCGCCGACTCCGCCTGCAACCTTGCTGCCCCTTTGCACGGTTGCTGCCCAGTCCACCGTGGGTCGCAAAAGGTGGCGCGGGTCCAACGAACATGTCTCACTCCAACAACTTTTCGCCCAATCCACGGCCACGCACCACAGCCCGCTGCAGATGGTCTCGGGTCGCGCTTGGGTCAAGCGGCAGGTGGCACCTGCGCCCCAGGCAGAGCAGCATGAGCAGCAGCAGGCTTACATGGTTTGCACGTGTTAAAATAGGTGATGTGAGGGGCGACTTAGCACCGGGCATGAGCACCAGGGGGCCCTGCATGCATGCTTTCCCTTCACAGGTGTTGGTGATGTTGCGCTCCCTGCAGCAACTGAAGAAACTGCTGAGCTCAGGCTGCAGCAGCAGCAGCATCTGGCAGCTGGTGGCTACACAGCTCCCAGGACATGCGAAAGCAGTTTTCGCCCAGCGCTGTGAGGGGCGGGTGTATGGCGCACAGCGCATGCACAGAGCAGGCAAGGGGCAAACGGAAGGCAAAACAGCAGTCCTGGCAGCCCCCCCATCTTTGTTGTTACAGCGTGGTTTGGCTCGAACTGTGCTGTCGAATTGTGCTTGCAAGCGGGAGGGCAGACCTCATGTGCAGCAAGCCTATGCAGCTGTGCACCAGGCGCAGCACAAAATGATAAGCACAACGATGAGATGAGGGCATTTGTCGAGCGTGGGACACACATGCTGCATGCGGTGCCTTGGGAGGCGGACGTTGCCCAGGTTGCAAGATGCAGGCTGGATCAAATCAAAGAGGAAATGCAGCAAAATTGCGCACAGGGTGCAAACACACATTACGTGCCCCCAGGGCAGCACACACTGGGAACCAAAAGGAGAGCGGGTGTCAAACAGGCGACTGGAACACGAGGCAGGGAGCAAAGAACGGGCATTGGCCAAGAGGGGATTCTGCCTGGGTCGTCAGCGGGAGGCCTCAACCCAGCCCGCCACCAACTTTCAGTAGAGCACCACCACACACGTATCCATGAGCTGGCCGCCTTTGACACCAGACTGTGCGACTTCATGCCGACGCGTGAAACAAGACAGCGGCAAAAAATCTTTCTGCGTGCGTGTTGGGTGGTGGTGGCACATCCTCCCAATTCCGCCAACAAGTGCAACCAGTGCCCGAGCGGTTGCCCAGGGTGAGGGCCATAGCTGCTGGGGCGGGGAGAGCGCCACCACTCTGCTTAGACACCCCGGTCGGGCTCTAGCACAACAGCTGAGCCAGACTGTCCAACCTGTGGCGCCGCTGTGCCGTGCACAGCTACCGCAGCCACAGATGCCGCAGCGGCGGCCATGGCCGGCACGGAGGTGGCGCCTGCTGCAGCGGCGGGCACAATGGGCGAGGACAGCGTGCCGGGGAACTGCTCCACCTCGCCTGCCAGCGTCCCATTTGTGTGGAATAGGATGGGGCGGCACCGCTTGTCCTCGTGCAGCAGGCTGGAGTTTTGAAAATGCTGCACCAGTGCTGCCTTGCCCTGCACAGATGGGGCCGAGGAAAGTCCACAAGTCAGTTGAGTGACAAACAGCGGGCACCGCGGCGCACCTTAAAAGTACCAGCCTGCTTCAAACCAGCCACCACCGGCACCCACCTGGATGCGACCGTAGGCGATGTGGCATATTTTTTCCGAGTTGAACTTGGGCCACTTCTTGCCGTGCAGCTCCTCCACCAGCGGGACGATGTACTCGGGGCGCACCTGCAGTGCGAGGTACGTCAATTTGGTGGGATATGGCCGGACGAACATGCCAACCTTCCAACCTCTCAGCCTCATGCTCCCGCCCTCCTCACCATGTTGATGAATGCGTAGCCCACGTTGCACTTGTTCTTGAAATCGATTGGTAAATAGAAGAAGTCGAACATGCCGCGGAAGCGCTCCTCCACCAGCTGCGAAAAAGGGGTGAATTTCAGGTTAATGGCTAAAAATCGGTTGCGTGTTAGCCAGCGACACAGCAGGGCTGAGCGCCGAGGACGCGGCGCAGGCCCTCGCCCTGCTGGACCGCTGCTTCCCTCCTGACGACGACCCATGCAGGGGGTGCGTGAGGTGCAACAGCATTTCTCAGCCTCCCGCCTGCTATACAATTAAACACATTGCCCTGTGCAGGTTGAAACAGGTGGGCAGCAGTTTCTCGCAACAAGTGGCCACCGCATGCCGTTGCGCGGCATACAATGCGGCCCTTTCCGGTCTTGCCATTCATGCTGGCTATTTTAGCTGATAATTAGCTGATAACTGAAAGCTTAGGGATGCAGCAGCGACGATCCGGGCTGCAGCCCGTGCAGTATGAGGCCAGTCTCAGAATTCTGCTTGGCCAGAATTCTGCTTGGCCATCGCGGCCCTTCCAACAGAG